GAGCTTCTTATCAACTCGGTGTACATTCGCTCGCTTTTTATTCAGTACACTCAAGTTACCAATGACAATGTTATTTGTTTAAGTATATTGAAGGTAAGAATACAATCCACAATGGAGCCGCATTGCAGAATTTTCCCTAAAATAGAGGGAACAGAAGGTCCTAACGGTAATACATAAATCTGTAGACAGTCTCTACTAATAGAATAAAAAAAGTCATTTATATATGATATGGCAGACCACAGAGACTTGTAAAAGGACAACAATCCCAAATCCGTCCGAGTTACCTCGAAGTGCCGCTTTGGGAATCGACGTCTCGACCCACTGCTTCGGGATTCACGCCCAAACGCTTTAATCCTTAAGTCCTTTATCTACATTGTTTTTTCGCATTTCAATCAATGCTACAATATTCAATTGTGGTATTCCATTAAATATAAGAAATTATCATATAATAATATATTGCCTAAAGAGCGGTTCACATGGTTTCATCCCTTGGGAGCTCCAATTTTATTATTAATTTAATAGAGGTGGCGGTTTAGCTAAGCGAACTCCTCGGCAATAATCCATTAGTTGTATAGGTAACGTATATGATATATAAAACTAGCTCATACTGAAGCTCATTCAAAATGTAATCATGCGATTCTTTGTGTAAAAGATGATCTAGGATTTAGAGATATTCCAAAACCTTAGAGCGTTTTCTAATATGTGTAGGTAAAACTTATTAAGCAATGTTTAATTTGAGAACAATAACGAAATATGAGGGTATAATGCTGGAACCGGTGCGATTGCATATTTATTAATAGATTTTTTTATTAGTTCTTGAAGCTCATGTTTTGTCATTTCTATAAAAGTTCGATTCTTTTATCTGTAAGCCAATTTTAAAGGTTTATTTCTTTTTATTAATTCTTGTCGCTGAGGTTTTGTCTTTTTTTATAAAAGGTCGATTCTCTGTTCTATAAGACAATTTCCCATGTCAGTGTGGTTTGGATCGGGACACTTACTTAAGCGCAAATTATGTTGTGGTACCTATATTGCATTTAAAGCGAGCGACAATACTTAGCTATCACATGTTCGAGCAAGTATGAACTGAATAACATAACACCAATTTCAATTATAGCCTAGTCTTGTACGGTGCTCATATATTTATATTAACAAATAGCCACTGCGACTACGGTTAAGGTAAGTAATGTATAATAGACGATGCCATTAATTCTAAATGAAGCATTGAAGACACAAAAGACCCAAAGCCGCCCATACGCTTACCTAGCAGACAATGAGGCCTATTAATTTATTGACAAGGAACTCCAAGTTGGGCACACAGCAGACTTTAAAGACAATTTAATATGTATTCCTCATTGGGCCGGCAAAGAGCCGTGATAGCTCATGGTCCGTGCGCTCGCCTTTAATTCAATATACTCGAAAATATCGTGTGGAAACCTGCATATTTTCAAAATAATAACAAATAAAAATATATTTCGAAGATATGTGAAGTCCGCCAATCCGCAGTGGGGCCGCGTGGTGGACTATGTGGGTACGTGGTACGTGTGACTATGTGGTACTAGGTGGACAGCAGTGGGACATGTATAGGCTGTTACTTTTACTTTTATTGGGCGATCACATATCAAACACAACTAGGAACAAAGTAATTTTTGAAACATCAAAAGTAAAATACAATTTTATATGTAGTTACTAATAAAATTCATATAGATTTTTAAAAAAAATCATTTAGAGTTTTAAAAATTCATATAAAGTTTTAAATGAAACATACTATTAAATAAAATAAAAACCGGCCAAGTACGACTCGGACTACGCACGAAGATTTCTGTACTATTATCTATAAAAACGGCTTAAAATTTAGGAATACGTTTAGGAATAACCTACGTGAATTGTAAAATAATAAAAATATTTTAAACGATAGTAACTTCTCATTTATTCTATAAAATAAAAAGAATTGTTTCCTTATCGGTCACCACGCTCAAAAAGTGTAACTTGAATGAATATCAAAGAAAAAACTTGAATTAATATAAAATAATTATAATTGCTTAAGTTGATAAAAAATGCTTTATGCGGCAGTCCCCGGGTGCCACAGTTAGTTTTTCTGTTTATAAGTATGTGTTGTGATAGCAGCAACATAAATACTGTTGAAAAACGGACAGACAGCGGAGTCTTAGTAATTGGAACTCGTTTTTCCCTTTGAGTACGGAGCCCTAAAAAGGCGAGTTAAAGTCGATCATATCATCATGTACATATGTCTGACGTTTGTATGCGTTACAGACATAAATACTCATTTTTGCCAAAACTACAGATAAAAAAAAAAGATTAAAAACCCATTTAAATGATAATAAATGACATCAAAAAGACGTAGACAAAATATATATATATACATATAAATATCTTCAAATCTACGCTCACAAGTTCCAGCATAATACCCTCATATTTCGTTGTTGTTCTCAAATTAAGCATTGCTTAATAATTTTTACCTACACATATTAGAAAACGCTCTAAGGTTTTGAAACATCTCTAAATCCTAGATCATCTTTTACACAAAGAACCGCATGATTAGATTTTGAATGAGCTTCAATATGAGCTAGTTTTATGTATCATACACGTTACCTATGAACTTATTAAGCGTCGTGGCCATGTTACTCTGAGGTTACCGCCATATCACGGCGATCGGATTCCATTGAAATGGTTTCCAAGCTCTATTAAGAGGGATGTCTTACTTGTTCCGAGACTAACGCCCGGTTTCTGAAACACTGTTCATTCTAGTTAATTCAGAGAGTTTAACCATCCTTTTCGAAACTAAAGAGGTCGCGGTCTGTACCGTCGAGAGCCAGTAAGCGACACTCCTCTCTTAGTTAAAGCACGCATGAGCACATGGGCGGCACTGTGGACGGCATGTGGCGGCCTTCAAACTCAGGTTCTGGCTAACCCACGGGCAGAAGCTCTCGATGAAGCTTTAATAGTCTACGGACTGAAAGCGCTAACTTCAGTTAAAAGCATAAAGACAAACAGAGCGCCAATTGAACTGCATCAGATAAGTTTTTGGCTTTCTAAAATTTGTTCATATTACTACAAATTTCTTACAGTTAAAAATAGGCTAAGTCTAGAATTCTGTTTTTACTTTTCTCGATTTTAAACGATCCATCTTATCCGCCGTATCTAAAAGATGGGTTTAAATATCTCTCTTTAAACAATGAAAGAGATCTCCGTTCCTCGTCCTCCCTGAACATTTTTATTCCTCCATACTTAGTTACCTTCGGTAACTCTTTGGCCAGTCTGGCTGAACTACTTTGGAACTCCTCGCCTGAAGACATGTGTAGAGTCTGTTGTATGAAGGGACAGGTCCGTCCGTCGAATACCAGAAGACCGGCATGAAATGGAAGTGTTATACTTCTGTGTTTCGTCTGGTGAGTGAGGTAACCGGGGCCCACTTTTTAAAAGGTGACAACGCATCTGCATCCCTACTGGTGCAAATGTCCGCGGGCGGCGGTTATCACTTAATATCAGGTGAACCGTTAGCTATCTTGCCAGCTTCTCACATAAAAAAGCTAAGAACGACTTCATCTATGATTTACGACAATAACGTGACATAAACCTGTAGAATAATTTGTCCATGCAGATTACCATCCATAGGTAGATTGATACCAGATTTGTGGCACACTTTTTTGAACCTGATATAAAGGTATTAAAGAAAACACATTACATTCTTAATTCAGTTTAATATCGGTATTTTGACTATTAATAGGAATGAACGTACATTGCAGCTGATTTTATAAGTCGAATATTTGTCCAAGCAATTCGTAACATGTACAGCTTACGTTTGATATGTAAAGATATTTCTTTTTATATATGAACGAAGCAACGAGCACGTCTAACAAACATTTGGCGAAGGTTCTATACAACAAGTAAGGAATATTTGAGTCAACTATTAACAAATACTTATATCTATTAATTGGCACCGACAAGTGAACATATTTGTATCTATTGAAACATTTTGTGTTTGATTAATAACTTGAGTCATTGAGGTCTTAAAAGCGAGGGGAACAGACGTATATAAGTATATTAATATATGTATTTCGGAAATATATTTCTAATAAACTGTTTATTCAGAAAATATCATTTAGAGTTGCGAGACATGAAAAATAGAAAACGTATAATATTTGCATTATTGTAATTATCGTATTATTTATTTTTAATTAAAATTAAAAAAAAACACACTTAGGAGATCGTCGCTCATTATCATCAAATACAAACACCGTAAATAAATCTTGCTCAATCGAAACTAAAATACACACCAAATTCTCATAACCTATTTACATACATATATTGTATAGGAATAAATACTATAGACAACCATAGGGAGATATAATTTGTGTCGAATGATACCAAATATCATGCAAAACAAATAAACAATTTGAAATAACAAATACACATCCATAGATCACGAGATTAATTCACCTATATTATTATCAACAATTTTTAATTAAAATTCAGCAGAAATATCTATATGCACAGCCTTAATAGTAGTATTTGTGGAAACAATCACTCGCGATTCTTCGAAGCGGTTACGCAGTGTAAATATAGCATTAAGAGAGATATTTACAAAAGTTGCGGTATCAAGAATATCGTGGTCATCTGCCTCTAAGAGTAAAGCTCAATTATTTAGGCGTTACACTTCATTCAGATTTTGAATGGTACTTATGAATTAAATATGACACGGGACTCAGTTCAGCTCACTGTGTTTTTTGTATTTTCGCGTAACTTGATATTTTAGCGTAATATAATAACTATATTCAAACAAAATAACTGTAGTAGTTGCACAATGGAATTCCGCAATACGACAAGCAATCGAGGGAAATGACACTGTTCGTCATAATAGGACACATAGCTAATTTAAGAGTTTTTAATTTATTTAGTTTTTAATTCACACGGAGACTGTATATAGCCGAATGCACTAATGATGCTTCGAGCGAAGTGAAGGAAAACTCGAGAGCCGTTCAGGCGTAGCTCTGCGCGTGCTCGAGGGGGATCCCGGACAGTTTGTTGCCCTTCTCCACCCAATTCTTCAGCCTGCCGCGCAGCTCCTCTAGGCTCTTCGACTTCGCCTTATTTATCCTCTTGTACTTCACGTCCCGCGGTTTGGTCACGTTCCTGTGGTTTGACATCACCCGGTTGTACGTGACCACGTGGTTGGGCCTCGGCTCCGCGGCGGCGTCGTCGCTGTCGCCGTTAGACGTGACTTCCTCGTCCGATCCGTTCGCCGGCATCATTCTCTTCGGCACGTAGCTGTACGACCAGACTTGCTTCTTGGTCTTCGCTTCCTTATCGGAGTCGATGCTCTTCACTTCGCCGGTGAGCACGGCGCTCCTCGTGCGGAAGTTGTCCCGCCTCTGGGCGAGCAGGCTGGTCTCTTTCTGCCCTTCGGACTTGTTAATCTCCCTCATGTCTTTCTCGGTGCTACTCTGGGCGCTCAGGGCCTTCATCGAATCACCGTCCGCTTCTTCCTCCACGCTGTACACGGTCTCTAGTATCTCGGGCCGGCGTAGGAAGCCGTTGGATCGCCTGGCCACGCTGTATTTTACGTTCGGGTCGATTGCGTCGGAAATCGAGCGGACGACGGTGACGCTGTCCGGATTGGCCGACCTGAATCTCGGCACTAGCGGGAGGTTGCTGCAATCCGAGTCGACGTCCTCCATGATAACGGCGGAATCGGAGTCGTTGAGGGAGTCGAATTCGCCGGTGATATGGGTATCTTGCAGCATGTCTCTGAAATCGGGTATTTGTTGCGCCAGCTCGATTCCGTTCTCGTGGAGCTTCGATTGCAAGGATTCGATCACCTTCTGCTGCTTCATGATGATCGTTTCTCTTATCGCGAGCATGTTCGTGATCTCCTTCTGCTTTCGAACTAACCTGGACTCGAATAACAGAAGCTGGCTCGACAGTGTCTTCAACTGCTCGGCCTTCTCCCTTTGCAGTCGGGTGAGCAACTCCTCCTGAGTGCGGTGCGCTCGGCGCCATGTCATCAACTGATGCGCTTGAGCCCGGTACTTCATGCGCAAATCTCTGAAAGTGGAATTGTTTCGCGTTAAACTTTCATACTTTATTTCTTTACTTTCGTTTATTATAAATAAGGAAAAATCTATATTTCTTTAGCTCGGTTCAATTAGAAAACTGTTACAGAACATAAAGCAAATCCTTATGTACCATTTAAGGTGGTTGTAACAACAAGTTATTTCAAATAGACATACAGTAATTGAATTTAGGTTATACGAAAACTTTTATTGCTAATGTTACATTTCATTGTAGATATACCTGATGGTTCTCCGAGCCTCTTCCAAGGTGTGCGCTTCCAGGGGGTCGGTGAGAGAGGCGGCTAGCGAGACGTCCGGCTCCGTTGGACTGTTCAGAGCCGACTCGCTCCGACTAGGAACAAAAAGGCTACATTAATACGCGATACTTTAGATAAACGCTAGGTAACTTGAAATCGAAACCACAACATTTTTTTCAGTATATTTTGTTATCGTACGTTATATATATATTTGAGTTGACATTCACAATGAAAATGTAATAAAGTTCAGACCGATTGTATAATCCAAGACAGGACACAGGAAACATTTTTACACATCGTTCTCTTGTCCCATACCATGATAAATATAGTTATTTTTTTTACTTTTATTTTGTAAATATATAAATATTATAAATATATAAATACCCATACATTTGAAAAATACTATGTTCCTCACATAATACTTTTCCAGATTGAAGTGCAAGAAATGGGTTCGCTACAACTAGGTCAATCTGTCGTATATTATCAAAGATGCTGACAATATTTGTTACAACCCGGAAATATACTGGCGTAGTAGATGGTTAAGAGGGCAGCAATAATAAATAATGTTGACAAGCTAACAACTAACTACAACTTATAATTATTTAAAATATCACGACAAATTCAAAAGTTTAATTTGGCTCTGATCTCAAGTTGAAATCTAGGTGGATCAAACAGTTTTCAAATAAATATACATACATGCCTGACTAGTTTCATCCAAAAACGCTGTCGCTGGTAGGCAATTTATATTGGAAATATTATTATTTAAATTTATTGTAATACTGTCGTAATCGTGATCGATGTAATAATCTTTGCTAATCAAATATTATGTATTGAATAATTTTTATTTTTACTGTCGCCGACAAAATAAAAACCTTTGTTACTACAAAGCTGACTGTTTTGCCGCAGTGTGATTTAAATATTGCACTTGGTATATCTTTTGCACGCAACGACTTTTTAACGATACTTTTTACATTATTATTTGCACGTGAAGGTTTGTAATTTTTGACAGTAAAAGTTAAAAAAATCAAGATAAACTATACAAAATCAAAACGCATCTGGGAAAAATATGAAGTGAGCCCGTGGAAACTATTACGGTTATTAGCCCTGTGTCCAATTCAGCTTAATATAGTCGTTATGACCAAAAGTGAAATAATCACGCCACAATGACAGATTTTTTTTTATGCTAAAAGTTGTCAAACGAGCAGACGGTTCACCTGATGTTAAGTGAATACCGCCGCCCATGGACATCTGCCCCACCCGAGGGTTACAGATGCGTTGACAACCCTTTGAAAATTGGGCTCCGGCTGACTCACTCACCAGACGAAACGCGAAAGTATTTGTCATACTTCCACTTTACGCTGGCCTTCTGTGAGGTCGTGGTACTTACCCAGACGGGCCTGCCCATTCGCGCAACAGTCGAGGCTGCTGCGTGGCCCTGCCACCGTCAGATGATGATGATAATAGCGAATAAAAATATACGAGATAATAGAGAGAGAAATAAAGACTTAGACAGACTGAGAAATAATTTGAGCTCTAGCTTTGCCTAAAACAAGCCTTAAATACGCAAAGTTTCGAATTCAGGAAAATCTATCATTAATTACGTTACAAATAGTAATTTCAAAGAGTTCTACATTTTCATAAATCGGTTATTTTATCATCCTACTTAAGTGCTTATGATTATATTTACCTTTTGTAAACAGAACATATTGATGTTCTCGATGCATTACACAATATGCTACGTTAAAGTATTATAAAAACTATCATAATTTCTCTTAATAACTATGCCATCGTCGTTAAAAGGTAACTTAAAATCTTAACTTTGGAAACTAATTAAGGGCTTGTTGACATTCATATGTAAATTAATTCATAATAAATTCAATTTACATCATATTCATAATAAATTCAATTTATATCATATGTAAATTAATGCAACTTATACCCTACCCAAGCGGCGAGTTGATGCAAAATAAAGTGAACCTACTTTATTTTAGAACGAAGGCAGCAGGGGCCGTCAGCTGGCGGTGGTGGGACGGACAAAGCAGCAGGGCGCGGCAGGTGGTCAACGGATACTTCCGTTCAACTGCGGCTTGTAACGTATATGGAGTGTTGGAAAGGAAAATACGGTCGGACGGGTAAATAACCTTTTGGACGCAGCACCACAACGATTCGACCAACTGATGATAGTTTATTTTGTTTTGAAATCAATAAACGGGTTGTTTTAAACTACTTAGCAGCTCAGAATTAAATTCACTTCTTATATTTACAAGAACACTACCATTAAATGGATTTTTTCGGATTCTATATACAATTTTTAATTGATAGGTATATAAAAACGGTAATTTAATAAGTAAAGTTCAAAAAGATGGGAAGCACAAAACGAATTCTCAAGTTCTTTAATCTAAAACATTAGAGCAACGCGGGAACTGTACAAAAAATTTTAACCGCCGCTAGTGTAAAGATCGATGATATCTTTCATTTTTCTTAGAATCCAAATGAGAATTAAGTTTGGGATATAACCATGTCGTTTGTTTAAAAAAAGGTTGTTTCTTCACTGGTTTTCTCGCCTATCAATATTTTAATTGCCTATTATGTAACCAGGGAAACATACCTTTTTTTCGAATGTCCATACTGTTTTAGCTACTGTCAATGAAGAACATGGATCAAATAACGCAAGTCGAAGTATCCGTTCTGAGGATTTTGTTCTCAACAATAAATCGTGGCCCACCGGAGACGAAATTCGTTGACGAGTGATGAAAATGGGTTCAGCTTTTAGAACTTCATAGTGGTGAGCCTCGGCAGGTAAGTTTTCCGTATGCTTGAAAACTCATTGGAATGCAGGTCCAACACCCCTGTCACTGCAGGATAACTGTCTTAATTAGTCGTAGTTAAAACAGATGTGCTGTAAATAAGAGATGAATCGAAATCAATACTAAATGTTTATTTTTTTCATTACGCATCATATACTCTTATATACTTAGACGCATCTATTATTAAGTGATTATTGTCGCAATAATACAGATGTACTGTAAATAATAGAGATGCATCGAAATCGATACTACACTTTTATTTTTCTTTGCGAATACGCCTTATAAGTATGCCGGCTATGATGCGATGTGGAGACAGTGCCGCCAGCAACTTCCTAGTACTACGCCAAGTCTGATGTAATTTCTGACTTCCTGTATGAGACAACTATCCTTTTTCACTCGCTTCTTCAATCGAAAGTAAGAGTTATCCGTTTGTTTTATACTTATTTCATAGAGTTTTCGTAGTTTTAGTGGTCGTTGTTTTGAAGGCCAGATGATAGCACACGCAAATCCGTATTACAAAATAAATAAATAGCATAGGGCTACGACTAAATCTCAAAGTTCTATAATTTTCGATACTTTTAACAATGATTACGTAATGTGCTCAAAGTTCAAAGCAATAGCCGGCATTCAGACCGTCACAAATAAGGATCGTTTTTTGCGCGAATTTTGTATATTTGTGGATATGTGGAGAGTAATTCCAATTTCCCTTTATCAATTGAAAGGTATTTGATTTCAGACGGACATACGCTATATATTATAGATAGCTGGTAAAAGTTATATCAATAAGTCGCTAAATATATCTGAAGGATCAACTGTAATGCCGCGATTCGCTAGCATAATATATCCTACTGATAAAGTGTGTGTCGGTCATCGAAATGTTCACATTAAATAATGTTATATTATTTAATGATAGTATATTAAACTTTCTCTTTTGCGCCTTATTCAAATGTTTAAGTACCTATCTGAGTTTTCCTGGAAATTGAGAGTAAGAAATACAATGTGACCCCAACATCCGGTGTATTAACTGCGTCGTATCTTTTGGTCACTTTTGTTAACAAGCGTACGGGGTAAGGCATCTGTTGCATGCGGGCGAAGAGTACCGTCGGAAACAAAAGCTCCACAAGTTCTTTAACTTATTGTGAGAATTTTAGCTTTGATATTTTGAACTTTTGATATTACTGTAGTGAAACAGGTAACAATTTTTACAAAAGTTATTTCATTTTATAATCAATAAATTTCATTATCACTTTCAATAAAGATTATCATCTTATTGTTACCGTTGTTTACCACCGACTCCTGTTTCAATACGAAAGTCTATAGAGAATTTACAAAACAATGACCGGGACTCTTACAGAGGTATGGAGTAAGAGAATGAATATGGATTCATGCATACATTTTCAGGTTTACCAATTTCTAAAGAAAATTGCGGAAATGTCGGTAATCGTAAAAATTTAATTACTATTGTTACGAGCGTTGTACGTACGTACGCGGCACATCGTAAGCTCGTGATTGGTGGCGTAAAAACAAAATTCCAACATTGAATAACGCGGAGGAACAAGTCCATAAATCCTGGACGCCATTGTTGGCATTGTCTTCTTTATGTTGCACATAAAAATAACGTGGCAAATACAAAATATGTGGGCGGAAGCTTCAATGTTATTTTACTACAATGTCGAAATTTTTTCACGTTTTTAATGTCTCTTTCAAATTAATAATTACGAGACTAAGTTAATTACTCAGCGAAATTATAACAGCAATGTCGACTTATTGTAAATGCAATTTTTTTAAGATGGCATAATTACTATCCGGTTGCTGAGGCATGAGTTTTTGAAGTAACATTCGCAATTTTTGACATAACAGTTTGAAATTCATATCACATTGTCATGTTCTTACGCTGCAACAAGCATTTCAAAAAACCATCTGCGATACCGAGTCCCCCTTTCCGTATGTCAAATACATAAGAGACTAATTTGACATACAGAGGCAGACATTGCTCCATGATTTACATCGCTGAGGACAGAGCAATAAATATTGTACCCGTTATATAATGTTGAGATTTTTTCTAGAAGCATTTTCATTTATGCAGGACGCGGATTTTCTGAATACACACAGATGAAATGATTTGCATATTACATGTATTTAGGAGCGAAATTTAAATGCTTTGTGAATTATTCTCGAAATGTTGTGTGGTAATTTAAATGACCTACTTATAAAATTACAAATTAAATCAATTCTTATTAAATAACTTTTTAAAACATTAGATAAATATGAACAAGGCTGTGAGCGAA